TGTACATCGGAATGATCTCGCAACATGGCACGAGCAAAAGTACATCACACGCAATAAACCGACGAAAGAAATTCCAGAATCCAATAGCACAACATCAGACAGGATGCTGCCAAACGTCAAAAATCAGAGACAAACGCGAGCACAATGCAAGAAGCAGTCGTCAATCGATCAAGGCGTGCAGAGATCCTTTCCGCCGGGGGGAGGAGTGTTGTGAGATACTACTCACGTGTGAGTAGTCGGTAACTTTCGGTGATTAAAAATAGAACAAGACCATCAAGGACCAAGTAATATTGAGAAAACGAGTCGGTGAGCGAACAATTGGTGCAGGCACTCCAATTGCCTTGGCCGTGTGTGAAAACCAAGACGGAACATGACGTGTCACTTGACCCAAGTGGTCAAAGGTTACATTAAACTCCCTCCGACCCACCCATCCACACACACACGCACACACAAACATACACACACCCATCACTGCCTACCTCCGAATATTGACCTTGAAATGAGCCAATGGCTATCGTTATGTAATAAATTTTTTTTTTCACTGTATGATATGTATATGAATATCCGAAAACAATTGTTCGCTCACCGACTCGTTTTCTCAATGTTATTATGGGAATATTCAAGCTACCAAGTAATATATTTGGGAAGAATAAACACTACCTGCTCTACCCATTGCCCCATGTGCCGCGATTTGCTGCGAAGGCATGTTTCTGATGAGCTTTTCGTGTTATGCATGCAAAATTAGTGACCTTCAATCTGTATTCTGCAATAAAGAACTCTGCTCAACCAGCACCGCCTTTTCGGAATATAACACTAGGTACTAGCGTCACTCGGCTTTTTTTCGAGGGTGCACCTCTAACCCTTGTAAAACCAAGTACGACCTGAAGAGCAATAGGGTAGAATGGTTAGTAGCTGGTGACCGTCAGAACGGTTCATACGCCTTTCGGATGGTTCCGCACCAGTCCAGGGTCCAAACGTGTCTGTGAGGTCTGAGGGTCGATAGTAATCTTCTCCTACGCGGAAGAGTAGACGACAGTGGAACTGTCGATCATCAACGGGGTAATGCATCTCGGAATTCAAGCAGTGTTAAACATAAGTTACAGTTACCTGAGACGCTCTATCACCACCACTGAGTAGGTTCTATTAGAGACATTCAATTATCGGGTAAGTGTGACACAGTTGCGTATCCAAGGCAAGGTGATCGTTAACTTGTTTGTATCATCTGTATTTGCAATAGTAAATCGTTTTGGTCCACTTGCGAATGCCATGAAAATGAAACAACTGCTTCGTTATGCGCAAAAACACTCAGGAATGTCAGTAGTATCTGACAACAGTAGTAGCTTTACGCACCCGAATGGGTGAATTCATGCATTTTACACCATATTTTGAGATGAAAGTTTACAAAATCACCTAAAAAGGAACTGCAGTCAGTAGGTATCGTCTTTGTCTATGAAGCACGCAAATACGCAATTCTGTAGAAACTTTCTCCATGTCAACAACTTGACGTGCGAGATATGGCATAAAAATTACAATATGAAGAGGTGAGGGGAAATAAAAATTTGAACATTCAGCGTGTCGATGATGTAGAAACGGCCTTTGAAAGTTCGTTGTGTAATAAGTTGTGTTTGAAGGTATTTTGGTAATAAAACTTTCACAGGTTTGTAGGTGTTCGTCCATGATAGAGTCTGCAAGTTTATCTCTAGTAGTCCTACTGCGTTTACAGATGCTTTTGAGATCTCGCCAGTAAATACAATTAATTTGTCAGCATACCAGGGTAAGCCACTAGGGGGCAGCACAACAGGTGTGTGTGTGGGGGGGGGGGACGAATCAAACAATCAAATTGTGAGGAGCAGAAAGTGTTCTTAATCGAAGTGAGAAATATGAAAGCTTTCTAACTTCATAGAATGTGATTTGAACATTCAGTGACCATGATAAATTGCGTGATAGTGTGGCTATAAGATAATTTATCATCGTTGACGCCGGTATAGGTTTATGATTTTTGGAAGGGTTAGGAAACCAACTTTTAAGATACAATGATCCGAGCTATTCAGGAAAGCACGTTTCTGGACTTTGAAAGCTTGTGGGCCATTTATAAAAACGAAATCTGGTAGGAAAATGTACCAATATCCTTATGCAAACTTTCGAATCATAATATCGTCCACAACAGAACAATCCTGTCTTTCGGACACTTCGATGGATCGCATATTGTGAACCACAGAACGAGACAAAAAGAACTCACGATTTTCTAAGGTCCGGGGCGAACATCGTTTACCTCGGAGCTTGAGTGAACATTCAAACTTCTGTATAGTTCTCTGTACAAGTTGAGTGACTACCGGTTTTTCGGGAACATAAGGAAGAAGACCACCAACAATGTGTGCGGCGAGAAGTTCAACTTCTCTGGAAATGGAATTCGGAGTACGAGTGAGTTGGTTTAATGAGTCCAGAATNTCCAGAATCGCTATGGCTTGATTTTCTGTCAGAAGCAAATCCTGAAATCGGGTTGAATAAAAAAGACGGTTATACACTGGTGCTGGTTATGTTAAACTGCCCCATCGGTATTCAATATACTACCATCAATATTTGAGACTTTCAACGCACAGTACTCACAGCTGTCAGATTTATTACTGAAGCAACCCTTGATAAGACCAAAGTTAACACGCACGTTGCGAGGTGTTATACTAGTATCACAGATTTCTCTGGATCCAAACCGCGTTGATAAAGTCACGTAACAGGGAAAGCAATCCATGGATGAGGTACCGTGAGGGCGGTGGTGGCGCAGTGGTTTGGTCGCTGTCATTGCTGTGCTTTGGACTCTGTAGTCCGAGGTTCGAGCCCCGCCACCGCCACCCATCTTTGGCGGTAGGTAGCTTTCCTGCCGTCCGGTTCAACACCACGCCTAACCTAGCGGGGCCTTATGTGGTACGCCATTCCAAATTCGGGGCTTAGGTTACCGGTTTCTATCACTGAACAGCAGGTTTTCGTGACAACGGAGTCACCCCGTCTGCTGTTCACCACTAAAAGTATGTAATTAGGAAAATTAAAAAAATCAAATGTTTTTCTTAAGGAGTCCCTGACTAACCCAAAGGTTCGATATAATGTAGATTGGGATGCTAATGTTGGTGTGTTCTCCGAGCTGGAATTGTTGTCCGCGAACAACACACCCGCTCGGAGAACGCACCAACACCAATAAACGAAATGTGAAAGGTTGGTTAGAATGTCTAAGGTGTCTCATAAGCCAAATCGAGCCAGTGACTATCACGACCAGGATATTCTGGAGCCATTCCTTCCCTTCTTGAAAGGTTTATTATCAAGGTCGTCAACACTCCTTGACGATGATGTAGTTGCTCATAGCTTTTAATTTTAGACGCTTTCTTCCCCAGTTGGGGTTAATCGGTAGTGGCGAACCAGATTGGCGCGTGTCACAATGCTTTTGAAGGAAATTCATGTCTTCTTCTGCAGAGATCTCTCACCAGGTGAAACTGCGCCGAGTCATAGGGAAACATAGCTACTCGTGCGCGATTGCTTATTGAGTAAACTAATTCCGACCCAGAAGCGCGCAGCTCCGCTGACCGCAGACTTGAAATAACCTAACATCAGTGATGTCTGACTTCGTTACAGTCTCGGATGCAGGTCTCTCGTTCTCACTTTAGTGTCAGCTGCCCCATTATGAGGAACTTCAACAGATTGATAAAAGATGCACTTCATGGGAACATATTTCGAGATAAGAATCAGGTGCCGCCATTGCAGGAAATAGAGCGCTTTGAGGTCACAATGTACGTAAACCACTGAATTTAGGTCGGGCAAGTTTTATCTCACAATGTTCGTGCACAAAAGCGAGTGTGTAGCTTCGTTGTCGTTTATCCGATTACACAAAATGAAACTCGCTCCACAGTGCTCATCAGATTCATCGATGGAACTACACTGTGAAACTCAGTGTTGGGAAATGGAGCGCATGAGAAGTGTGTTGATACTCAAGTTGAGTGGTTATACCACAGGTCGGATTACGGTCTATGGGCAACTCTCCCAACACACGGCGGTCTCCATGGGGGAGAAGTGGTGAGAGGAGGCAGCTTCATATCCTCATATATCTTCAACTTCGCCATAGAGAAGTTCACGCGGAATGCTCTTCGGTTTCGAAAAGAAGATAAGACTGAGCTCCTCTCACGGAACAGAGTTTTCGACTTAAAACATGCCTTGCTAGGTGACAATACACAGGTTAACTGGCTCTGAACCACTGGGCAATAAAGGTATCCAGATATGATTTTTGCACCACCCAAATGCAAAGCAGTTGTACAGGATTGAATGAGGTCTGTGTGTATGCACTCGATCTTTGTGATGATAAGCTAAGCGGTCAGATAATGACGTGGATAATGGGCATGAAGTAGTTTCAGTATTGGCTTCGATCTGTGGTTCCGGCCATCCTGATAAGGAGAGCAACGGATGAGAATTCTCTTTGAAAACAGACGTTGTTCCAGAACAGAAATAAGAGAGATAAATGCTCTCCGATATAACTGTTCAAATAACACGAAAGNNNCAAAAAACAGACAAAACATCAAAGTGTACGGCAAAGGTACGAAAAGCACACTTGTTCTCCATAATTTTTATCGTTCATGAACCGTTCTCCCTAATTTCTCTATTCTTACCCAACTCGCTTCTCCTCATTTTCATGGTTGTTGCGTTGGCACTACGCTTGTTTCGAAGCCAGTAACATTAGGTATCCATACAATCGCATTGTGGTGAGTAATAAATAATGCTAATTCTTTCAAATATGGATGCATATGAGGTAGCGGTCGACGAAACACAACGAGCGTACCTGAACGAAGGTTTTCAGCGTTCGCAGAGCGGACACCAATAGCGTACTGCGTAGTTCACTGTGACTAACTGAAGGCATTACGTCAGTTAGACAAGAGGAAATCAGTTGGACTCCGGAGGCCAAGTTGGACATGTTGGATTCGGATCCCAAACAGACGAACACAGATGTATAAGCATCTAACATGTTGAACACCTTTATCGTGAGCAGACAGCGTGAAACCCACGAAATTTCTGTTTGTGAGACGCCGGCGGCCATTTGTACGAGCAGGATTTGGATCACTTGGAACAACTGTTCAGCCAAACTGGAGATCAGGTTGTGAGCAACGGGGTGGGCATGATGAAATTCATGAGTGACCTGTTCACCGATCGCGGTGAAGACGAACAGGAATGCCTCAAGAGTCTATAAAACCACAAACAAAGATCGTCAGGAATATGTGAGTGACGATGAAGTGAAGTTAAAATAGACTAAATATTCTACCCGAAGCAAAATTGTGACTTTATAGATGAGTTCAAAAAAATGAAGAGAGTAACAGTCTTAGCTGACCAGATGACAAATGTTATCAGCCTCCAAAGTATCCGCAAGTTCCTGGATTACTTCAATGAAATAACCATCTAACTTGTTTCATTTTGATCAAAAAAGGTCCAGGAATATACTGCAAGGGGTATGAAGATGATATAACTTTACAAACATATCTTACAGAAAACTCATACTAAGGAATAAATGCGGTTTAAAGATTACAATAGGAAAAACGATGATATCACAAACGAGAACGGGTTGAGAATCTTAAGGTTTACGCCATCCATCGGATGCCACATAGCGTTTTAACAGTAAGGCGAGATAATCTGAAGTTAAAGGATCTCTGAAGCTAAAATTCCCTTTTCACGTAACCGCGTTCAACGTTCGCATACTCTATTCGATCGTTGAACAAGCCGTCTTAGAAACCTTAAAACATTCAATGCAGACGTATATTGTCTCCAAAACACGCATATAAGATCTTATTACAATCAACTTCCTGCATTCTCCTGACTTGATCTCATCCTCACGCTTCACCCTTTGTGTGTGAAGCGATTTGGCATCCGAAGCTCGCGGTGTTGCTGGTTGTGGGATTGCTCTAAGTGGCAAAGCCGAACGTTCACTTCTTGACAGGATTCCAGTCAACAGCCGACTGTGCGCTGTACGTTTCAACGGTTCACCAAGGATCAACAGCTACAGAATGAAGCGGTGATACTTATTCATCGTGTCGGTGTATGCACCGACCGATTGCAGTACAGCTGAAATCAAGGATGAATTCTACCAGGAACTATCTCAATTACGCCAAAGCGTTCGATCGACGGACATCATAGTAATTGCCAAAGACTTCAATGGTGAAGTGGGATCTCTGAACGAAAGGCTGCTCCGTCATTATATGCAATCCAACTAGTAAGACGGGCTAGATCGCCTACTGACACTTTGCGTGGACCACGGATTGTTCTTGTCAATCACCAACCTCTCGCACAAGAAACGATGGTCAAAGGTCTACCTTCCAAGACCTATGGCGAAAGATTACAGTTATTGGGGCTATACTAGTCTCAATATCGTCAGACAGATGAATGATGAAATGAGAGATGATATGATCTTACTGTATCGGATTTTCCAACAGCCCGACCATCCATATAGATCTCTTTTGATTCTATCAAATCAATGTTCATCTCAGCGAGCATCAACTGAAGCTGGCACTCCAAAAGAGCCATCTCGACTGCAGACGCCATTCGTTTGCAGTCAGTCAGTGGAACTATCTACCACCTCACGTGGTTTGCGCCCCAACATTAGTATCTTTCAAGCTTCAGCTTAATGATGCTGTAGCAAACATTATGTTTCAACACCCAACTACAGAATATATTCTTCTGTGCTCGTCAAAAACATTACATTACTATTTT